TTATTCCAGGGGCTACATAGCAGGAGTAGGTGGATGAGGCCAGGGGCAAAAATGGGCAAGACAATGGATGTGGCTCTTGCCTTTCAACAGTAGGCTGCGGTCCAGCCATGCAAAGGTCTCCATGGAGGCAAGCAAGAAGCATTATGACAGCTGAATGACATATTCCAGATAGGCAAATGGTGGTTGTGGGGAGGGGCTGGTGAGAGGTATGACACAGGTGAGCTGGTGAGGCCTTAGAGAGAGTCCCAAGAACTGGAAAAAGAAGTCTGGAGGGTAGAACACTCGCCCTAAATGATTCAAATAAGCCAATTGGGAGATTTTGATTGCTTGCTTGTAGCAATGATTTGACTCTGGAAAACTTCTTTCCTTTCTAACAATCCACAACATTTCTGCAAAATGACTTAAGGGCAGGATGTTTTGTTGCAAAGAGATTCAGGAATCGTGGAGGGGAACGAAACGTCCCTTGAGAGTATTCCTCGAAAAATGTTTGATTAGGGTGATGTACGTTTTTCAAGAATGCATTCAAAAAGAAAGCATCCTGTGCCAAGGAACCTTCACGCCCGGAATTTCTGTGTTGACCTCTCCTTTTCATAGAAAAGATCTGCAACACATAAAATATGATAAATGCTGCCTGGGAATCGGAGAGGGCCTAATAATTAAAACAGGCAGGCAGGAGGGAAGTCTCAGCAGATCTGAGTGGTAGAGGAAGCTATACACCTGTCAGGCGTTTGCACAGAGTAGCGGGAAAAGGAGATAGCCTTGGATTGCTTTGCATGGTTCAATTGGCCCCACATCCAGCAAGTCCAGGAAGGAATACTGGACAAAGCTGGCATTGAACTCACCCCACTTCTCAGAGCGGTGAGAAGTTCCAAGATCATAGCTCTTACTCTCCCGTTGGAAGGAGGTCAATGGAAGCTTATTGGTGTTTTACACTATTTGCTCTTATTGGTGTTTTGTGATGTTTGCATTTCTTTACAAATGTACAGACGGAACGTAGATGGAGACTGTTATGTACTGAGCTGAATCCTAGACCAATAGGATCCAGAATGCAGCAGTCTGATTGGTCCGCAGGAGCCACCCAATCCAGCTCCAGGTGGAAGTGAATCAGCAGCCTGATTGGCCTGCAGGAGCAGCCAATCAGGCTTCTGGAAGAAGTGAATCCGCAACCTGATTGGCCTACAGGAGCAGCCCGGAATTAGCCAATCAAGCGGGGCCCATTGTGTAAATAATGTATATATAGCTAGACGTTTTGGGGGAAGCTTCATTCATTGCTACTATGAGCTGAGGGATGTTTCTAATTCCCTCCAGTCCTCTGACACTGCTTCCTACTGCCATAGTGTCACAAGTTCCTCAGCCCCATCCATGGCAGCCTCCGGAATTAACCCTCGCCCCAGGACATTTCTGTAAGTTTTTGTAAATGTGTTTCCAATAACCCAGGAAAGACCTCCATATGTCTACAATCAGTTGCCAAGCATGTTCTTCTCAGCTATAAATAATAGTTTCAATTTTGCAAATAAGCTTCATGTGCCTTAAAAAGAGAGAGAGAGAGATTATGTTCCATTGATAGAACACTAGACTTTTACCAAGTTTTGGGAGCCCACCTTTTTTGCTGCTGTAAATTATACACAATCAGTTTCCCCATTTGTAGAATACTCCCTCCAGGGAGGCTCGCCTTTGTCACATATGTCCAGGTGCCAAGCAAAAACCTTCCTCCTCTCTTTGAGAGAGCCAGTGTGGGGTAGTGGTTAAGAGTGGTAGACTTGTAATCTGGTGAACCAGGTTCGCTTCCCCGCTCTTCCACATGCAGCTGCTGGGTGACCTTGGGCTAGTCACACTTCTCTGAAGTCTCTCAGCCCCACTCACCTCACAGAGTGTTTGTTGTGGGGGAGGAAGGGAAAAGGAGATTGTTAGCCGCTTTGAGACTCCTTAGGGTGGTGATAAAGCGGGATATCAAATCCAAACTCTTCTCTTCTTCTCTTCTTTGCCAACCAGCAAATGGAAGATACCAATTTCCACATGTGACTGCCACATGTTGAAAGCAGTTCTGGTTTGGAAGTGCTGGTCTCTCACATAGCTTGTAGGAAGGATTGCACCAGAAGCTAACAGTGGGCTTTTAAAATGTTTTTATATGGTTGACTTGCACGAGACCTCTTCACCACTCTTGTCCAAATGCGTAAATATCACTCATGCATAAGAAGCTGAGATGGAAGAGGTTGGGCCCTAAGGAGTGAGCTTCTAATTCTTCTATCCACTCTTTACCATTAGTGTGAAAATATATTTCCAGTACAAATTGGAATCCCTTTTGAAAGTATTATTTTTAACAATTTAACATCACGCTCCTCTGGGACCCCGGGTTTTCTGATGAGAATAGAACATGCCATACCATGTGGCTGTGAAATATTTGCTGATGCAGCTAACAGCTTCATTAATTGGAAACAGACATTTAGCGACTGCATGAGTCACTATCAGTTACATATCAAAATTCCCGTGTGGCCATGCTTCCAGTAAACAAGAGCTGCCTATCACTTTATCAATGCCACATCAATGACAAGAAGAAGCAGGAGTTGGTTTGGGGAAAGAGCCTTGACCCACCCTTTGCACCCTCTTCCCATCTTTTTCTCACATCCATTATGGGGTAATGGCCATCCAAATAGCAATGATTTGGTTGACCAAGGTGGCATTGAAGTTCCTTTTGGTTTTACCTGATTTTTGTTGCACCCTGTGTTGCTGCTATTCTTGTGAGCCCTCAAGGAGCTGCCTGTGGGCATGGTTTGTACTCTCTCAGTGCCCTGGTTGAGAGATGACCAGGGTAAATGAAAGAGACACTCTAATCATCTTTTCCCACTAAGATGAGCTCATTCAGGCCTGTGGTTTCTTGGGGACCTAGGGGTGATGATACAGATGGGATGTTGGCTAAAATGCAGCTGGTGGAAAACTCAGAGCCAATCAGCCTTCTTTGCCATAATCAAGGCAGCAAAGAACCAATAATTCTCCCCTTTGCATTATTGTAGGGCATGGCAGTTTAAATGGGATTCAATACCTGTGCATGTTTTTTGTTTTCGCATTTTGATATGCCAGACTTGCACAAAACAGTGGGTTAAAAAACAACAACAATGTGTGTTGCAACTGGTCCAACCCCAAACTCAACGAGGAGGACCTCAACAACAGAAGTAGGGGGTGAAGTGATAGACAGCATCCCTCGCAAAACATGTGGGAACTTGAACAGACTAGCTATGAATCACAAAGGGCCTGGTATGAATCTCATCACTGCCGTGAACTCCCTAGTGATCCCCTCTCTCATCTTCAGTCTCCTTTCTGTTTTGCAACATGGGGGGATAATAATACTGACATACAGGGCAGTTGTGAAGATTATACTTAGACAAGACATGTAAACTGCTTTGAACACCTGAAAGCACAATGCAAATATTAAGAGGTGGGGGGGGTTTAATTGAAGAATATTCGATTATAGTGTTTAGACCAAAACAAATAAATTGACATCTAAACAAGAATTAAAAGGGGAGAGTTGAAATATGGAAGAGGGGGATGGGTTAGGGTGTTTGAACCATATATACTGAAAAAACACAAATATAGTGGATTTGTCAATTCAGTGCATGGCCAGTTCAAAAAGGGACAGGGAGTGCAAATCATTAACCCATTGCTGCAAGGAAGGAGATAACTTCTCATTCCAGTGTTGAAACACCATGCATTTGGCTGATGTTGGTTCATGACCCATGGCTTGGTGGTAATTCTCCCTATTATTGGGGAGGTAATTCAACAAAGCATGCACATCTTTGAAATGTAGTAATGTTTCCAGGACCAAAATGGATTAGCAAAACTTCACCCCTAAATGTGCTTGCAACCAGGCAGCTCCACATCATGTTGGTAAGGGACACCATTTCTAGCAAGCCTGAAATGTTGGTAAGGGACACCATTTCTAGCAAGTCTGAAATGTTATTTTTGTTGTTGTATGGGACACATCCTCCAGTCATGATACATGGAAGTGCTGGGTACCGCTGCATAGATTGCATGGCCATTCGAAAACCCTGTTTCCCTTACTATTTATTAGGTGGCAGATGGGGTGTGGGACTTAGGCAAGCCATTGCACAGCTCAGTCTCACACATAAACATCATATCTGTAAAAAAACAGAAGTTCCCAGGTGGAAACAATCTTCATCCAGACCTTCGTTTGAGTAAACAACCTATGGCCTTTTAAATATGTTTGTGGGTGTTATTGTTTTGTTGCTGTCGTTATTACTTTATGTATTTCCTGTTTTTATGCCCTGCAATTTTCGGATGAAACGAGGCATACAAATTTAATAAAATAGTAATATCAAAGACGGAATTAAAAAGAAATGGCAGCAGAGAGGAAACCAGGCTGCATTGCGTGGTTCGGAAATGAGTGTGGGGTGTGTGTCTGTGTCTGTGTGTGTAAACATACACACATACTGTTCTAGCAACCTCACACCCAGGAGTGCCTGGGAATTCTAAGAGAATGGGTGCAGTTTTTGAAAGGTTCAGTCTACCACCTTGGTTCAAAATGGGTGTCGCAAACCTAGGTGAAAACCTACTCTGTGATCTTGTGATTCCTGCATTGTAAGCTGTTAGGAAAGAGGACCTAGACTACAGCATGAGACTCTTAATTTCAGGGTTGTGGGTTTGAGCCCCATGCTGGGGAAAAGACTCCTGCATTGCAGGGGGGTAGATGCCCTTCAGTGTCCTTTCCAGCCCTACCATTCTAAGAACTGATTTGAGCTGGAAGGGACCCCGAGGGTCATCTAGCCCAACCCCGCCTGCAACGCAGGAATCTCAGCTAAAGCATCCATAACAGGTGGCCATCCAACTTCTGCTTAAAAACTTCCAGGGAAGGAGAGCCCACCACCTCTCGTGGCAGTCTGTTGCCGCCAGGAAGTGCTGCAACTGCCAGAAAGGCGGCCCAAACGTCGCCATGGAAACAGGCAGGAGCGCGCCGGGCGCCGCCGGCCCTTTAAGGAGGAGGGCGCGAAGCGATGACGCGCGTCCCCCGCGACTCCTGTCCACTGGGTGCTCCACGTGGCTCCGGCGCTGTGATCGCGATGGAGGGGCCGGTGGAGGCAAAGGCGCCGCCGCCGCCGCCGCAGAAGCGCTACTACCGGCAGAGAGCGCATTCCAACCCGCTGGCGGATCACACGCTGCGCTAGTGAGTGCGGGCGGGATAGGGAAGCAGCAACAACCCCGCGATCGCCCCGTTTCCGTAGGCTCCCCACGGGCTCACAGAGACGTCTGTCCGCTTTGCCGGGCGCACCCCGATTTTACCGTGCTGACGTGTTTTGCTGTTGAATTCCCTTCTGAGTGAGCCTCCCGTGTCGAAATTCGCCCCTCTCGCCCCTTGACTCGGGGAATATGGACCCCATAGTGAGTCACACCGCGATTGGTCTGTTCGGGCCGGTGTTGTCTCTTATGAATGGCAGAGGAATCTCTGCGGCTTTCCCAGTAATTCAACCGGAGTTGCTTTCGTGGGATAAGGAACCTGGGAGGTTTCTGCATGCAAAACATGGGCCACTGGTCTGGCTTACCTGCTTCCTGGGCGCACGTTTTCGTGATCTCTAATTTCTAGGGAATCTAACCTTCCAGATGTTGTTGGACTCCCGTCAGCCACAGCCAGCAATATCTTGGGGGGGGGGCTCTAGTTCCCCATCCCTGCTCTAGAGTTTATATTCATCAGTAACAAACTGTCTTGGTGCACCCCTCTTCATGGTGAACTGTGGGATGAGGTCACTGCAGTCCTACACACACGTTTGCTCAAAAGCAAGCCCCATTGAATTCAGCTGTAATGGTCTGGTTCTAACTCTGCTTAGAAACAAGGTTCCTTGATATCTCCCAAGTTTGTCCTGTTTTGTCCTGTGTCTTTTTAATTTGGTGAGCATCTGTGGTGGGTTGGCCAACCAAGCTATGGACAAGGAAGAGTGCTGTGTTCACACCTAATGCCAAGCCACAGTTAAAACAAGCTAAGGTGTGTAAGCCAACATTGATCCGTCACTCCAGATCATGGTATGATTTGGGAGTAGACAAACCATAGTTAAGCTGCTGGGCAAGGTTTGTAAGTAAACCTAAAGCATGATTTATGTAACTTTAGTTTAATAAGCTATGGCTTTATGTTATATGGGAACCGGACCAATGGGACTTGCTTCCAAGTAAGAATACCTAAAGCTGCGATCTCATGCACGCTTGTTTGGGCATATTGACAATTGAATGAAAGGGAGCTTCTCTGTGTACGTGTGCATATGACTGAGGCAGCATATATTGCAGTCTGCAGCTCAGTTATGTAAGGTAAGCGTCATTGCATTCAGTGGGACTTGCTCACAAGTTAAGCGTGCCTTAATACAATTCATGTACAAAGCAATTTCCGGTGACATCAATGGAACTTGCTTCCAAATAATTGTGGTTAGAATTTGACTGTAGTCCCCTAAATTTTATTGTCTGGATCTCCCCCCCCCCCCACTTCTTCCAGATGGACAAATTGTCATTTTCCTTGTTTACGACATAAGTCTTTGGAATGTTTCCGGAGATGCAAATCATGGGAATATTTCTCTGTGTCAACATTATATGATGCATGCCAGCCCTGACTTCTTGCCCAATTCAGTTTTTGAAACCTGTAATAAATGGTGTCCCACAGAAGTTGTTCCTCATGGTTGCCTCTTGGGAAAACAGCCATTGTTGCTTCATACCAAAATACTACGTTTATAATCTGATAACTGTAGCATATAACAACAATGCTGGTTGCATACACACCATACATTTAAAGTACATTGCTCCCCCTCAAAGAATCTTGGGACCTGTAGTTTACACCTCACAGAGTTACAGTTCCCAGCACCCTAAACAAACTATAATTCTTCTCTCTCTATATATATTTGGGGGTGATGATCTTGTACTTTAAATGTATGGTGTGTCTGCGGCCTTAGTCTGCAATCTCAATTTCCAACTTTTTCTGTCACCTCTTTGTGTAATTACCTTGCCTGGTGCAGAGTTCTGGAGATGGCTTGCTGCTATTTTGTGACATTTTAGTTGGTCTTGCCCAAAGGCAAGGTTTTCTGCCTCATATGTACCAATACATATTACCTTGGGTGGTGGGTCAACATATAATTACTGTTCTTCACTCTTACTTCATGAAGTCCTCCGGTTTCTTTCCTGATAGTCCTGCCAAGCCTGAAGAAATGGACTGGTCAGAGATCTACCCGGAGTTTTTTGCTCCTTTAACTGCGGACAATCAACATGATGACCTGAAGGATGCAGAAGAGAGAACTAAGCCTTCGTCTCAAGTAGAGTTTGCTGATATCGGCTGCGGTTATGGGGGCTTGCTTGGTAATTTCTCCCCAATGAGAGTTAGCTGATGGTTAAGGTTTCTCTAAAGGGTTAAAGGTAAAGGGACCCCTGACCTTTAGGTCCAGTCGTGACCGACTCTGGGGTTGCAGCGCTCATCTCACTTTATTGGCCGAGGGAGCTGGCGTACAGCTTCCAGGTCAAGTGGCCAGCATGACTAAGCCACTTCTGGCGAACCAGAGCAGCGCACGGAAACGCCATTTACCTTCCTGCCAGAGCAATACCTATTTATCTACTTGCACTTTGACGTGCTTTCGAACTGCTAGGTTGGCAGGAGCAGGGACCGAGCAATGGGAGCTCACCCCGTTGCGGGGATTCGAACCGCCGACCTCCTGATCGGCAAGTCTTTGGCTCTTTGGTTTAACCCACAACGCCACCCGAGTCCCATCTCTATTGGTTAGAAGCCTGTAAAAGGCTATAAAACAATCCTTTTCAAATGCTTTCCTTCTCTCCCTGGTCTGCGACAGCTGTTTATTCAGAAACCATGGTAGGAGGGAGGAAGCGGGAGAGATTGGACAAATAAGAGAGCATTTTTTCCTTCCTTGTTTTTCCTTTTGCAAGGTTTCAGGGGGTTTTCCTGGGGTAAAAATTCTGTGGTCAGGAATGCATTAGAATTTTCCCCATAGGAATCAGTGAAATCATCGACTTGTCATGTGTATGCTTGCCTAACAAAAGATTTCCTGAGAAGACATAGTGTTTTGGATAGCCAGACCCTGTGCATTTTGTTGTATTGCAGTTTGAATTCTATACTATAAAATACAATTTTTGAGAAAGAAAAGAACTGATGGAAACACAATTGAGAACCATACAGTATTTAGCACAGTGCATTACAATGGCTACAGCAGGCAGAAAAATCATTAGGTGGTCTGCCGAGTCCATCTGCAATTTTCCAGGGGTCTGCGTAGAACACATTTGAATTAGAGTTTCCATTCACGTTGGAGGAAAGAAAGCAAATGGGGTGGATGCTGTTAGTATTTTCTGCATTTGTAACTGGTGGTACTGTAATTCCACCGCCTGAGAATTGTCAGCCTTCATTTGAAAAAGCAAGTGTGCAGTCCTCATGGATGTGAGGACAAGTTTCAAAAGATGCAGGCTGTGACCGATGTAATCTTGGAACCCGGAGATTCTAGTGATCAGGAGCAGACAACTCTTTTTATCCTTCCTCATGATCAGTAAAAGCAGAATAATTTATTGAGATGGCGACACATCTGCTTCATTTGGCAAACAGATGCTTGCCGTGGAATTCCCAGTGAGAAATGTGTCATTTATTAAGCATGAAAAGGCCCTGGCTCTTACGAAGACCATTGTCTATATTTTTAGAATTCATTCTTGCTGATTCACAGTGATCGGAAGGCAATGGATTGATTTCTACTGTGGTGTTTTCCTTATAACGAGGGCGGCTATCATGCGACAGTCTGAGTTTATAAAGAGTCATGATCTGCCGGTTATCTACATTAAAAAAAACCCAAAACCCTTTACTCAGGAAAGAAGCTTGCGGCAAGTTTTTCACATGATTAATTGTCGCTCCTTGACCATCCTGTGAATCCACAGTCAGGAATGTGTTGGATGGAGGTAAAAAGAACTACTGCAATCTGAATTGAAAGTGAGTCCCACTGAATTCAGGGAAGTTACGGCCCCCTATTTGCGTGGAAATCATGAGTTCAGTGGGACTCGCTTCCCACTGCAATCTTATCTCTTAGCCCCAAAAGAGCGTCCAGGATTGAGTCTTTGTTCTTAAGTGTCCTCCAGATGTTTTGGACATCTGTGCTGACTGGGACTGATAGGCGTCCAAAACATCTGGAAGACAGCAGGTTGGGGAAGTCTGCCCTCTGTGAAACTAAGGCTGCAGTTCTGTGTGTGCTCTTCCCTTGGAGCAAGCTGGACTGAACGCAGCTGGACTGCTTTCCAAGTCAGCCTGCATAAGACCAGGCTTGCATAATCCTACACGCACGTCCTTGTGTGTTAGGTTCCACTGAAATTAGTGGGATTTACTTCCTAGGAAATACGCATAGGGTTGCGCTGTGTTCCTCAATCGGTGTCACTCCCTGTGCTTAAATTAATTGGCCATTCTTGTTCACATTTCTTTGTCCTCTCTTAACGCTGAAATTTAAACAGTAAGTTTTGCAAAGCATCGTCTAAATAATGTTTTGCAATAAAGTTGTTGTTGTTGTTGTTTAGTCGTTTAGTCATGTCTGACTCTTCGTGACCCCATGGACCAGAGCACGCCAGGCACTTCTGTCTTCCACTGCCTCCCGCAGTTTGGTCAAACTCATGCTGGTAGCTTCGAGAACACTGTCCCACCATCTCATCCTCTGTCATCCCCTTCTCCTTGTGCCCTCCATCTTTCCCCAACATCAGGGTCTTTTCCAGGGAGTCTTCGCTTCTCATGAGGTGGCCAAAGTATTGGAGCTTCAGCTTCAGGATCTGTCCTTCCAGTGAGCACTCAGGGCTGATTTCCTTAAGAATGGATGCGTTTGATCTTCTTGCAGTCCATGGGACTCTCAAGAGTCTCCTCCAGCACCATAATTCAAAAGCATCAATTCTTTGGCGATCAGCCTTCTTTATGGTCCAGCTCTCACTTCCATACATCACTACCAGGAAAACCCTGGCTTTAACTATACGGACCTTTGTTGGCGAGGTGATTTGCAATAATAATAATTTATTATTTCTACCCCGCCCATTTGGCTAGGTTTCCCTAGTCACTCTGGGCGGCTTTCAACAGAGCATTAAAAACAGAATAAAACTTCAAACATTAAAAAGTTCCCTAAGCACTGGAGGTAGCCAAGCTGGTGCCCTCCAGTGTTTTGGGACTACAGCTCCCAACATCCTTGACCTCTGGCCATGTTGAGTGGGGCTGATGGGAGTTGTAGTCCAAAGAATCTGGAGGCTTTCACTTGGGCTACCCCTGCCTTATGCAATAACAGTAAAGGCACACAGTGAGAATGTTGAGAGCGCTACAAAAAGTGGGCCATAGCTGGTTTTGGGTGGCCTTTCCCGCTCCTGGTAGATTATTGCAAAAAGTGCTAAACCTGTGTTCTTAAGCAAGAGGATATAGTAAGCTCATACTCTGGTTAGTTACGCTGTTTTCTATTAAGAGATTTTCACGTGTACTTTGCTTTGGAAATTTGCATCACATTCATTGACCGTCAGAATTCTAGTAAAGAAATTATGAGTAGGCCTACTCTTGGCAGCCCTGGTCCTAGCTAAGCTTACTGAAGAAGGAAGTCCCATATATTTCCGTGGACTTCTAAACAGAGGAATGATGCAAAGACAGTGTGAGAAAAGGAAGTCAAGTCTAGCAGAGGGGTTAGAAAGCATCTCTTTGGCTTTGAAATGTGGAGTTGCAGGGGGAACAGAGAGATAAAGCATCTTTGACTTTATGGCCACCTTGTGCTGATTTTATTGAACAAGATTTACCGTATTTTTCGCTCTATGGGACACACTTTTTCCCCTTCAAAAATGAAGGGGAAATGTGTGTGCGTCCTATGGAGCGAAGACACCATAGCCCTGCGACCCTCTCCTGGCTGGAGAGGTGACGCACGGCTATGGCAGGAGCCTCTTTAGCCGCGCGCCACGTCTCCAGCCGGGAGAGCGCGCGTGGGGCTAAAGAAGCCCCGCTTACTCTCTCCCAGCTGGAGAGGTGACGCGCGACTATGGCAGCAGCCTCTCCGCTGCGCCGTTCCGCTGCTCCCTGACCTGCTCTTTGGGGCTGGTGGTGGGCTTCCCCCTGCCAGCCCCAAAGAGCAGGTCCAAAGGAACCTGAAGCCTGGAGAGCGAGAGGGGTCGGTGCGCACCGACCCCTCTCGCTCTCCAGGCTTCCGAGGTAGCCGCCTGAACGCACCTTAAGCGGCACCTTGTTTTAGAGCGGGAAAACAAGAGGGGGGAAATTCTCCCCCTCTCTGCGCAGCGCCTCCTGCCGCTTCGCTGAAGGGGCACAGGGCAGAGAGGGGGAGAATTTTCTTTTCTTGTTCTCCCCCCTCTAAAACAAGGTGCGTCCTATTGTCCGGTGCGTCCTATGGTGCGAAAAATACGGTATATATTGATTAATCAACAAAAAAACCTCTGTCCTCTTAAGTTACTGGCTGGCTGTTCTCTTTTGCAGTTGCACTGTCTCCCCTGTTTCCCAAGACTTTAATGCTGGGTCTGGAAATCCGAGTGAAGGTCTCTGACTACGTGCGGGACAGGATCCAGTCTCTGAGAGCATCTCACCCCGGGCAGTTCCAGAACATCGGCTGCATCCGTAGCAATGCCATGAAACACCTGCCCAACTTTTTCCGCAAGGGGCAGGTGAGTTTCCAAAGAGTGTTGCATGGAAAAAGCAATCTCTCCCCATTTGGAGTTTTAAAAGTTATTTGTGTACACACTTTTAAAGACCTGTGTCGCTCCCGCCCTGGACATTTGAGGTTCTCGCCATTTCCTCCGAGAGAGAAACCTCTGTCATCTGATGCTGCTTTTTCATGGATCTTTAGGGTAGATCCTTGTGTTAAAAAAACAAAACAATGTCCCATACAAAATTGCTTTGTCCTGTCAGACTGTTGGTGATACCGTATTTTTCCCTCTGTAAGACGCACCAGACCATAAGACTTTTTGGAGGAGAAAAACAAGAAAAAAATATTCTGAATCCCAGAAGCCAGAACAACATGAGGGATCGCTGCGCAGCGATCCCTCTCGCTGTTCTGGCTTCTGGGATAGCTGCGCAGACTGCATTCGCCCCATAAGACGCACACACATTTCCCCTTACTTTTTAGGAGGGAAAAAGTGTGTCTTATGGAGCAAAAAATACGGTATCTATTACAGAGATGAGGAATCTGTGGCCCTCTGGCTGTTGCTGGACTGGCTGTGTACACAGAATGTATTTAAAGTACATTTAAAGCATGTGGCTTCCCCCAAAGAATGATGGGAACTGTAGTTCACCCCCTCAGCGCTACAGTTTCAGCAACCCTTCACAAACTACAAATCCCACAGTTCTTTGGGGGAAATATGGTGTGTGCACGGCCTATAATTCCCACCATGGCCAGTGGTCAGGGATGTTGGGAGCTGTAGTTCAACAACATCAGGAGGCCCATAGGCTTCTCATCCCTGCTCTAGTCTAATGGTTCGTCAAGGCTTCACTGAGGTCCTCCCCAGCTGTGCTGCCCAAGGTTTTGTTTAGCTGGCGGTGCATCCAGAGTTTGATTCTGGAGCTTTCTACAGGCAGAATGTGTGACCTCCCGCTGAGTGCCAGTCTCATTCCTTTGGGGACGGGAGGGAGACAACAAAGTCTTTGTTGGCCCTGGATATTCCCTAGCCAGGCCAAATGCAGATTAGGGGTTGTGTTTAATTTGCAGGCTGCTGACAGGCTAACTTCTTCCATTCCTTCGGGTGGTGAGGCATCTCTTTCTTGTTCTTTTTTGCATAAAACCCAGCTGTGCAAAATGTTTTTCCTCTTCCCCGATCCTCATTTCAAGAAGACGAAGCACAAATGGCGGATTATCAGCACCACTTTGCTGGCAGAATACGCCTATGTTCTGCGCGAGGAGGTGAGTGCATTGCTCTCGAGGGGGGTGTAGCCTCTTCCGAACCCCTTTCAACAGGAAGGCATCAAATTTGTTTGTCTGCCGCTTTTCTGTGGCAGAACCATGCTCAGAGCAGCTCACAAACAACCTACAGAATAAAACGCAACAACATTTCAAGGCAAAAACCAAAAGAGACAGACAATTTAAGCAAAAAGCACACTAATATCAGTAGGACAAACAAACATCTCACGTTAATAAACACTGAATGCGAAACATTTTCCATTTACTGCAAAGGCAGTAGTTTTTTGGTTGGTTGGTTGGTTGGTGTTTTTTTTTGCAATATCTCCCATATGTTTACGAGCATCTCTGGTGGTCATTTGCGGTCTAAGGAGTGCAGGGGAAGAAGCAGTAACTTTTGTGACACTTCCTTGCTGGAGGCTCTTATTACTTAGCATACACAGCCAAGCATCCATTTTTGGGATCCTGTGGCCTGCCAGAAGTCGCTGAACTACAACTCCCATCAGCCTTGTCAGTGGCTGGGAATGATGGCCGTTGTAGTTCAGCAACATCGGTCAGTTTGAATTTCTTAGTGCAGAAAGTATTGATCTGATGTGTAGAGATCTTTCCTATTGTAATTAATTCAAGAGGGTTCTGGAAGCTTCTCTGTGAAAGAAACAAGCAGAAGAGTCATGATGTTTGGGTTATACCTTCAGAGAAGCAGAGTACAGCTGATTTAAACTGGTTCTCTTATCTCGTTAAGATCATGCTGGCTATAAAAGTAGGGCCAGAAGGAGCCTAGGTTTCACTTTCACCTATCTCTTTTCCTTCTGATGTGGTGTTCTGTACATAGATAGTGTTAAGGTTTAGTCTTATTATAAGTTATTGTGAGTTAAGTCTGCTGCAACTGGATTTCTTATGGGTAGTGCCAATCCTGAATGTATTGGATTTGTGACCATTACGCTCATTTGCCTTCAGTAGGTGTAAAGCTCTGCTGAATGAAATATTAATTCCCTCTGGTCTATTTTTTGGGAATCCTGCAACGTGTTTTAAGTTTTTACTCTGCTAGCTATACATTGGAATCTGCTCCGGATCAATATTGAGTAGAATTCCATGACCCTTTTCTGGATGTCCTCTGTCTGAGAGGTGAGCCGCTACCAGCCAGAGTAGACAGGTAATCTGACCAGGTAATAAACCAGCTACCTAGGATTGGGCTAGCAGTCCATGAGACCTGGGAGCATGCCCTGGAACCACCCCAATCCCCAGGTATTTTTCCAGGACGCCAGGCTTCTGAGGCAGATGCATGGGGGTTCCGTGGCAGCTGAGATTGGCGAGGGATGGGCTCCATGAAGAGGGGCAGTGAAGGTTTTGGAGGTGCCTCTCTTGGGCTGTGTTGCGCCACAGAGGTCTCTGTCTAGACATTCCCTTCCACCCCAGCATTCCAAGAGGATGCGTGAATGGAGGAGGAATGTGTCTGCCCTTAGACACCCTTCTGTGCTAATTGAGTACTTCCTGAGGGTAGGCCTTCCCAGAGTAAGCTACGCCATCTTCATACAAATAATCACTCTCTTTTATCAAAACTCCAGGTGCGTCATCCTGCCCTGGAGCCTAGGGAAAAGCAAGACGCTCTGGATCGCTTGGGAATTTCACTCCCAAGATTTAGGGAAGGGTGCTAATTAGTGCTGAAGGCAACACTGTCCTCCCAGCTCCTAGCAGGAGGCTTGTGCTGGCAAACTTCCTGGCAGCCGAGCGAACATTGCGCCACTTCCAGCCCCTGACTTTGTCCTGGCAGCGTCTCCCCAGGGCACCCTGGCTGACTCTCCTTTCACCTGCCAGAGGGGTGGGCGGGAAAGATGGAGAGCATCCTTGCTGCTGCTGCTGCTGCTTGCGTCGCCGCTTTTGGGGTTGGACGCAAAAGGGAGCCAGCCTTCGTGATGAATCAGCACCAGGCCTCACCCAGAGTCAGCGTGAGTCACCCCGCAACTCTCCAGGTAGCTTTCCCAAGGCTAAGGAGGAGTCTGGCACAGCGCAGCAGCGCCCTCAACAATTGTGACGGCTGCAATTGCTGAGCCCTAGGCTGCAAGGAAGTTGGGGCTTCAGAATACCCAGTAATTACTCCTTTTCGGAAATGAGCCCGAGATCCAATTTTGAACAGGAAGCTACCAGTGGTTTGGGAAAACCTTTTTCTGCTGAAAACCTTTCCCCTCCATTTGCATTGGAATATTTTGCCCCAACCCCAAATAGCAAACTGTTCTGGCTTCTGTCCCATGTAAAGGTAAAGGGGGACCCCTGACCATTAGGTCCAGTCGTGACCGACTCTGGGGTTGCGGCGCTCATCTCGCTTTATTGGCCGAGGGAGCCGGCGTACACCTTCCGGGTCATGTGGCCAGCATGGCTAAGCCGCTTCTGGTGAACCAGAGCAGCGCCCGGAAACGCCGTTTACCTTCCCGCCGGAGTGGTACCTATTTATCTACTTGCACTTTGACGTGCTTTCCAACTGCTAGGTTGGCAGGAGCTGGTACTGAGCAACGGGAGCTCACCCCGTTGCAGGGATTCGAACCGCCGACCTTCTGATTGGCAAGTCCTAGGCTCTGTGGTTTAACCCACAGCGCCACCCGCGTCCCTCTCTGTCCCATGTAGTGCTAAGCAGTTGTCCCGTCAGCTTTCCTCCTTGCACAGTAGGACTTGCCCATCTTTCCCCCCACCCCATAAGCAACCCCAGATCTTTCCTGGGGCTTTCTCCAACCCTCCAGATCAGATTTGGGGAGGCGGGGAGCCCCGTTACACAAAGGGAATAGAGAGAGTCCTCTGCATCTTGCTCCTTGCAACATCTCCCTTATCTCTTCCAGGGGCTCGTCTACACCATCACGGATGTGGAAGAGGTGCACAGGTGGATGGTGAAGCATTTCAAGGAACACCCGCTTTTTGAGCAGGTGTCCTTGAAAGAACTGGTGAGTGCAAGGGAGCGGGCACATCCGTGCCAGTGCATCACCTCTGATGTAAGGGTTTTTTGCCGTTCCAGACAGGCTTTCGAAGCAACCTGCATGAAAAGGTTTCGTAATGCTCCCAGGCTGCTCTCTTGGAATTAGGTCACCACCTGATGAACTTCCAGGTTCCAATTACATACTGTATTTGTGCTTGGTTCTCCAGTTGTACAGCTAGGGAGAGGAAGGTGCTCCAGAAGGTCATAACCACAGCCCAAAGGATTATTGGTCACCCTCTCCCACCTTTGGAAGAACTGTACGGTTCCCGTTGCCTTAGGAAAGCAAACAACATCCTGCAGGATCCATCTCACCCGGGATACAGTCTGTTTGCACTACTGCCTTCTGGCAGGAGGTATAGAAACATCAGGTCAAGGACAAATAGACTGAAAAACAGTTTCTATCCAAGAGCTGTGGCCTTTTTGAATGCTGTAACTCGATAGGGAGACCTGGGAGTTTGATGGGTGTGGGTGTGGGTGTGGCTGGAAGGTGGTTTGTTTGGTTGTTGTTGTTGTTTTGCTTTTGTTTTTAAGGGATGGCATCCAATTTCGTTGCACTTGTGCAATGTTGCACTTGTGTAATGACAATAAAGAATCTATCTATCTATCTATCTATCTATCTATCTATCTATCTAGCCTCTGAGGAAACCGCCCCAGTGACACATCGGCACTTGCACTTGCAATCTTAAATTTCAGCACTTGTTAAAAGTATACAGACCTAAAGAGGAATAAAATGCAATAAACGTGTAAGGGGTCGCTGGAGCCGAATAAATGCATAAAAGTTTCATGGCATAAATCTTACATGTGCATGCCTAGAAGTCAGTCCTACTGAGTTGAGTGGGCTGTCTGCTTCTTCCTGAGTGTGCACAGGATTGCACCCTTCGACGCAGGTGTATAAAACAGGCCCAGAAGTAAAGTTATTAATCCACAAAAGTCTTCCTCTTTCTGCTGCACGTGTTCATTAACTTGTAGGGAAAACGAGAGACATGTCCTGTTCTAAAGCTCCCCCACCCTGTCATTTGGGAATAGCTGGACCTGCCCCCTCCCTCCCCATCTTCACCCTGAGCCAGTCTGTTCTTAGTTGCCCTGTAGTCCAAGCTCTGATGTACCAGTTAAGGCAGATTAACATCACCATCGCAATGAAACGCCACTCCGCAGCAGCCCCCAAATTCTATAGAGCAGAACAACAGTATGGATGTGTGCCGTTCCAGCCCCGATCGTTTAATACAGGGAACGCCAAAAGTCATCAGTGTCGAGGTGAGAAGCCACAACTGAAAGCCTAAGTGAAATGCAGAGATGAAAACAGCTTCCATGGTTTTAAGAGGACTAGCGAAATAAAAAGAGGTGTTAAAAGTCAGCAGGGGGCGAGTCTCTCTGGAGGAGGGCATTCCCCAACTGGAGGGGAGCCCTGCTTAAAAAGCCCTCTTCTGTTTCGCCACTGTGATCTCAGGTTGTGGAAGTCCTTGAAAAAGTTCAGTTATTCCCCTTTACACTCTGTTGTGGTTAACATTTTTCTGTTGGGGTGCAACCAAGGGAACGGGCAATTTGCAAGCCCCCAGCTGTCTCCAGCTCAAACAGAAGTGGCAGGAGATGGCTGTGAGAGCATACCTACAAGCAGTTTATTCAGCATACATCAGGACAAAGGAAAAACATGTCTTCTCCCTTCGTGTCCAAGCAGCAAAAGCAATAGCAAACCGGAAGTTCCCAGCAAGCTGTGCTGGAGTGTAAACAGACATGTGACACACAACAGTCATGCCTGTATTTAAGATGGAATGGAATATCAATATCCTAACATTTTCAACCTGAGAGAGGCATTAAAGGTTGGCCCAAAAGGCCGGCGAATGTGCCCAAACTTGCCACAGATGCAGGCATATAACTCTCTCGGACACAAACACACAACTCATCCATGCTGTAGTGCAGGACTGAGAGGAGAGCTGTAAATTTCTTGGTCCACTGCTATTGTGGGACAATTTCCCCTTTTGGGGATGTATGCGCAGAAAATTGCCTGGTGGAGGTAGGAGCCCAGTCTTCCTTCCCGCCCTGGTAAGGTCAAGGACCCCTGGACGGTTAAGTCCAGTCGAATTTGACTGTGGGGTGCAGCGCTCCTCTCCGTTTTCAGGCTGAGGGAGCTGGCATTTGTCCACAGACAGCTTTGGGTGTGCACCTTTTATTTCCCCACTCTGTGCAACTTAGTCCTAGATGGATAGTTTCAACTTCCACAAGGTGAAAGAGAAGTTCTCCCAGTGCTGTGTGTGTTTTTGCGTTGTGACCGTCCTTTTTTAATAAGCAGCCACACCTCCTCCTCTCCCAACAGGCCAGTGATCCTATCGTCGGCCTCCTGGACACCTCAACTGAGGAAGGGAAGAAGGTCCAGAGGAACGGAGGCAAGACCTTCCCAGCTGTCTTCCGGCGCATCAGAGACACCACAGAGGAACAGGAAGCACCAGGATCATGACCGGGGAATTTCCGGGGCCTGAGAAAATTCACGTCGTCCCAACTCGTGTGTCGAAAGGGAGGTGTTGGGGGCAGGGATTACATCAAGAGTGGGACGGACTCGACGCCTCTGGTCACGCTGGGGTCAGCCTTCTATTAACACAGCTGGGGATTCCCCTTCTGGGGTAACTCGGCTGAACGGTTGAGTAAGGGATTGCCTGCTTTGTTTGCTTCTTCTTTTGCCCGTAGAAGGACAGGGGTGCCTTGTCCCAGCTATACCGGGGTAAGCACCAGCCCCCCACGTAGCAGGATGAGTGATCTGGGAGGTGCTTCCCACTCTATTGAACCATCAGTCACTTTCATTTTGTGAATGAATAATAAACAGGAAAAAAGAACTATCAGGCACTGTGAGTTGTCAGGTCCAGCCTAGCTGCTGAGCTTAGCCCGCAGTTGTGCTTTGGAGCTGCAGTCTTCCATCTTCTTCCCCAGATCAGTGCCAGGTGTGAACCCCTGGCTCTTAGGGGTGTATGTGTTAGAGAGAGAGAGAGAGAACCTGTGCCTTTCTTCAAGCAGACCATAGATGTAGCTGGACTGCATCTCCCCATCCCCATGCTATGTAGACATGCACCTAACCCCCAGTGCAGAGAGCCTCAGATGGGGGAGATTCTGAAATTTGTCAATCACCTCTCTTTGAGTACTTTGGTCTTCTTGCAATAATCATGCCCTCACTAGTAGCCTAGATTGTAGGGAAATGACTGCAGTTGTTACCCATGTGCAGTAGGATAGCTTCTGCACACTCGACTTCTGTATCTTCCACCCAGGTGAGCAAGAATCATGACCAGAGTTCACTTTCCGGCCAGGCTAAGACACTCGTTGTGGAGCAAGGACTGGGGGGGGGGGGGCTGGGAGAGTCCCACGAGCCAGACAGAGAGGTCCAGAGAGCTGCATTTGGCCACTGGGCCAAGTGGTTCCCCACGTCTGCTTTTAGCTTATAAGGAGCATGTCATTGCAAAGATGCTCCATAAATATGCACTTCGATATGCCTCTGCCATGCATTACAGTGGAACCTTGGGTTGCGAACGTGATCCATGCAGGAGGCACGTTTGCAACCTGCAGTGCCGCATCTGCGCATGCGCGTGATGCAATTTGATGCTTATGCGCAAAGCGCGTTTTAGTGCTTCTGCGCATGTGCGAGCGCCGAAACCCGGAAGCAACCCCGTGCCGGTACTTCCGGGTTCGGTGCGGTCCATAACCTGGAAATGCGCAACCCGCAGTGTTCACAACCCGAGGTGTGACTGTAATAATTTGCCCAAAGAGAAGTGTGACCTATAAATTAGGCAATATTTTCCATTGTTGATTCAACCGCTACAAGTGAGGGGGCAGGATTCCCACCACTGGAAATCGAAAGCAGCGCCCATGGATTTAGCAGGTTTGTTAAAGAACCAAAACCATTTCAAGCCAGCATCCATAAGGGCTGGGAACTTATGTTTGAGAGCATCAAAACCCAGGATGCTCAAGCTACCGTGGATTGGGACAATATACAGGGGTGAATCTTTTCCTGAGGTTCCTTTCTCTCGGTAAATACATCGTTTCCTAAGGTGCATAAAAAGATCGCTAGGTCTGGAACCTTTGCCACGGTGCGATAATGAGTCATCGCCAAAGGTAACGCAAGGTGGATGGGCTGTGCACATTCACAGAGCACTCCCCAAACTTCAGAGTTGCATGAGCTAAGCCTGAGTCATCCTTTTTTTTCTCACTCGCCTCGTAAGCGGAGCCGGAACAGCCTGTTGTTTCTGCCCCAAGGGTGGTCTGCCTACTTGACGGTAGGAGGGCTGCGGGTTGGGGAGGGAGGTGAACCTCCTTTCCTCGTTGCCAAGTACCTGGTGTGGCAAGCCGGGTAATTCCACAAGGGAACTTGGAACAGGACACATCCAGACTGGGATTTGAAGTCGCCTCCCTCCCCCCACCCAATGCTCCAGACACGGGAGTGTGTATCATGCTGATAAGAGGAACCAAGATGATGTCACCTGACTTGGGTTTTTAAGGAAAAACCCTTCCCAGTCCCACAGCTGGATTTGATTGGATGTTTGGGCTCTAGTCCACTGTTTAAAGCAGACACTGTCCTGCAGGGTTATTTGGCACAGCAAGCTGAAGCCAGCATCCCAAGGATCGTCCAGCGGGGTGACGTCTGTTTGGTCCCATCGTTTTTTGTCTCCCGACAGATGTCTCCTGTCGGCAGAGTGGGGGGCTCCTGAGGGTAGTCAAGGCAGCCTTCCCCATTCACAGAGGCTGGCTGTGTCATCCAAACACACTGGCTCAGATGAGCTTCATTAGGGGAAGGAGGGATTCTTGGGGAATTTGAATTTCTGTGGAATCTGATGCTAGCAGATTTTTCAGAATGTCGTCGTCCTACACATGTATCCTTTCTCCAGATTTTGCAGTACCCTTTCTTAGCTTACCTTGCCCCCCCCAAAAAAGTACCAAAATGCATGAAATAAATTGTGCTGTTTAGACATGCAGATTTTTGAGATGAGAATGCATAATTAAAATATGTATTTAAATTTCAAAACAATGCTGTGGAGTTTTGTGTTTTTAGAAAGAAAGCACAGGTAAGTATGGTAATGGGAAAGAACAGACAGAGGTCCCAACTATATATATTTAAAGCAGCATGATATCACTTTAAGCCGCTGTGGCTTCGGGGACTTTAGTTTGCCACGGGTGCTGAGAGCTGTTAGAAGACCCCTGTTCCTCTCACAAAATTCCCAGAGTTCCCTGGGACAATGCACTGGCTGTTAAACCACTCTGGTAATTGTCGTTCTGGGAGGGGAACAGGGGTCTCCTAAAAACTCTTGAACCACAGTTCCCAGGATTTTGGGGCAGAAACCACAACGGTTTAAAGTGGTGTGACACAGCTTTAAATGTATAGTGCAAATGGGAGCAAAGGAAGGAACGCATATGAATTTGTTGTGATCTGGAAATGGACTGATCCTTCCATCCCGAACTAGAAGGGGGACGTGAGGCCAGGAGAAGTGGCTGCTACATCAGGGCTAAATGTACACGTCTGGAATAATTTCAGTTTGGGGTGCCCTACCCACCCACCCGCACTACAATCCTATCCTTAAAGTTAAAGGTAAAGGGACCCCTGACCATTAGGTCCAGTCGTGGCCGACTCTGGGGTTGTGGCGCTCATCTCGCTTTACTGGCCGAGGGAGCCAGCGTACAGGTTCCGAGTCATGTGGCCAGCATGACTAAGCCACTTCTGGTGAACCAGAGCAGTGCATGGAAATGCTGTTTACCTTCCCGCCAGAGCGGTACCTGTTTATCTACTTGCACTTTGACGTGCTTTCGAACTGCTAGGTTGGCAGGAGCAGGGACCAAGCAACGGGAGCTCACCCCGTCACGGGGATTCGAACCGCCAACCTTCTGATCGGCAAGTTTTAGACTCTGTGGTTTAACCCACAGCGCCAATCCTATCCTTACTTGATCCCAATGGGACTTATTTCTGTGTAGACAGGCCCTTATAGGATGCCAGTGCTTCAAGATGAAGGAATCCCTGGCGCTGTCCCCTAACATAGAACGTGGGTCCATTTAGTGTCTGTGGCTATGATTAACTCACTTAAAACTTTTATATTCTGCCTTTCCATTGAAAAACAAGAGGTCCACAAGGAGATGGACAAATATTAAAACCCAATAGGATGTGACTAAGGACTCAGCTAGATCTCGCAATAAGCGTGCGACTTGACATTTGTGTGGTTAGTTTATCTCCAGCCATGGGGGAAGCCCAGTCAGATGCAGGAATGTTCTGTGGGGGAGAGGGAAGATATTTAACCCTTTGCCTTTGCTGTGGCCCTGATCCAGATCAGCTAGCACATCGGAAAAGCAAAAGGTGTCAAGCAAGGCTCTTGACTTCAGACCAGAGCAGGCAACCCAACTGCTACTTTCAATGACATGGACTGTAATCCTATTTTCTACACCCCTGGGATCAATGGGGTTTGCTTCCCAAGAAGTAAAAATAGGATTGTAGCTTTTTTTCATGGCGATTGATTCCGAGCTCAATTCAAAGTGTTGGTGCTGACCTTTAAAGCCCTAAACGGCCCCGGTCCTGTATACCTGTAGGAGCGTCTCCACCCCCATTGTTCAGCCCGGACACTGAGATCCAGTGCCGAGGGCCTTCTGGCGGTTCCCTCATTGCGAGAAGTGAGGTTACAGGGAACCAGACAGAGGGCCTTCTCGGTAGTGGCGCCCACCCTGTGGAACACCCTCCCTTCAGATGAGAAGGAAATAAGTAGCTATCCTATTTTTAAAAGACATCTGAAGGCAGCCCTGTTCAGGGAAGTTTTTAATATTTAACGCTGTATTGCTTTTAATACTTGATTGGGAGCCGCCCAGAGTGGCTGGGGAAACTCAGCCAGATGGGCAGAGTATACATAATAAATTGTTGTTGTTGTTGCCAGAGTATCCTGACCTAAGTTCTTGTTGTGATAAACCTGTTTCTGAGTTGAACTACATCAGACTACAGGTAGGTTCTCACATGAATGAAAGGCCCTCAATATTCAGTCTGGGCTTGGAAGGAAAAACTGTACAGAAAGGAAAAAGGAAAGGGGAAAGGGGAAAGGAAAGGAAAGGAAAGGAAGCAGCTGATTCCTATAGAAGAGAGGCAGACACACAACCCCATTGCACACACAGAAAGCTAGTATGTTAAGAGAAAGTGGTTCGCTGTAGCCTAGCTTTCTCCGTGACATATTAACTTTCTGTGCAGAGGGAAATTTTTGTGTGGAGAAGCATTTCTGAAGCTTGAGCTGAAGTAATATAGCTCAGATACACAGTGAAAACAAGCCATAATATTATGAGCTGCAAGGAAACCCCAAAGATAAATGAAAAACCCTCTCCTGTGGGGGTGAGGGAATACATAGTTATATATAAACAATTCTTTCCATTAACTTAAGTACAGTTTTATTAATTTCCACATTCTTGGGATCACACAATTGCATGACATGACAATGAAGGGGGAAATCAGTACATGCATATAATATTAGCCAGGGAAGAATAATTTCAATGCCCGTTTGTAACTGAATTGTTGTCTAACCCATGGGATGCCTGCTTTGGCCAAAGCCTTATTTATTAACTGGCATATATTAGTGTGCATTGCATAGCCACTGGCCATTGCAAAGATCAATTTAAAATGATGTTAAAATATCATAAAACGTAAGATGCATGGATTATACATAATGGTTGGAGATGTGCAAAATTCAGACAATATATGCACATTCTGCAATACCTGTTGGGGAGCTGTATTGACTGGGAAATATGCATAATTCCTTCTTCATGAATGGTTTATGTGCACATTCTCTATGAAGACTGGTAAATGTGCACACTTGCTGGCTGTGGTGCACATGAACTGCTCAACTTACTTTCCCCTTTACATATATAACCAGGTCAAAGCAATCTGTGAAAACTACAATTTTAAACCACTGCCTTGGTGGGAACATGTAGTCATAGGTTTCTCATCACCTTAAGAAAACAAAAGATGTTTTAAGTAAACAATTACTAACTGCTCCTGTTGCACATGTTTGCATTTAAAGGTGAATGAATACCAACTATCTCTTGTTGTCGAGAGCACTTTCCCCTCAGAGAACAATTGGCCCACAACTTGCGTTTCCTGTTACAGATGAGCCCCTAGTGATGGTTTACGCAAAACCGGGGGTGGGGGGAAGAAGAGAAGATTGTTTATTGGAAACGTGAAAAGTCCCTCCTGCTGTCTGGCCTTAATATAGACATGGAAGAAACAGGATGGACAACCGAGAAAGAAGCTGCTCCATGCGGACATTGGGATTTGGGGGGAGATGCACAGGGACCCATTTAGCAGAATGAGCTAACCAGATTTTGAAGCAAGGGAAGGAATAGGGCACACATTAACATCTAAACGGGCTTGGAGGTTGCGGGTGGTTTAAGACCATTGGGTCCAGAGTCCAGAATTACTTAACTGTAGCACTAGCATATAGAAACCAGGTAAAACTCTCAGTTAGTGAAATCTCAGAAGATCACAGAGAAGTCGAGGTTCCTCCCTAGCTATCAAGTGTAGTTTCAATTTGCTCTTGTGGGGGAAAGCTGTGTTTGAGGGCACCGTGGCGGCTGAGTGCAAACCTTTCTCCCTAGCAGTGCAGCCCAGTCCTTTCTAATAGAGGTTTAGGCTAAAATGCTCTCTGCAGCTGCAAAGTTCAAGGGGGGGGGGGCAGCCTTACGACAGCTTGCCGTTTCTCTCTTCCTTGCCCACCTTGCAAAAGTGTTGATATGACAAGCATTCTATCAGAAGTTTAAAGCACTGCATCACACACAGTGAAGTGTACCAGTCTGCAATCCTGTGCACACTTGCCTGGGAGCAAATCCAACTGAATTAAATGCAGCTTGCGTCTGAATCGACACATATAGGCTCACACAATGCGAGATTACCTAGCTAAAGAGCAGGTAGTTGTGTTGGTCCATGGAATTCAGACAAGGATAGTGAGTGAAACAACACCTTTATTGAGAATAATCCCAAAGTAACGTGTATCTTCAGAGCTCTTCCACAGGCGAAATCAAAGAGGTGGGGAGAGGAGATGGGTGTTTCAGGGGAAATGTTTGATGTTAAGACCGGTTTCAGTCTTAAAATAATGATGGAAGGGTCTTGCAGATTAACTAGGTTAGAACAGAGCCTTGTGCAAAAGATCTCTGGTTACACAGAGGCGTGTTGGGTTGGAGACTAAAGATCTAGGGGTGAATTTGGTGGGGGGGGTTGTGTTTTTTGAATAACTTTTTATTGAGTTTTAAAAAACAAGGATCACGGGGATAATAAATGATACGAATAAATAGACCAGGCATGTCCAAAGTCCATTTTGGGGGCCTAATCTGGCCCGCCGGATCCAGCCCCTGTGGCAGTTTATTTCTTGGGGTAAAATCAGGGGAAAAAATCAACAACTTCAATCCTAAAAGAAGCTGAACAACTTCAATTCTAAAAAAAGGTCAACAACTTGGGTCGGCCCCCACAGCCCTTCACTTCATCAAATCTGGCCCTCTTTGAAAAAAGTAGAAATAGATCAAGTCTTCTCCATGCCATTTGTATATCACAAAAATAGCATAATAAATTTTGCCGTAATATCTACAATGGGGAGAGGTAATATCTCTGATGAGGGGCACATGTTTCTTCTGGGGTAGTTTGTCGACCTTCGGTCCCCACCCTGCACCCAGTTTTCACCTGGTCTCCAAGAAGCTGTCAGCATGTGACAGCGGCCGCACCCTGGGAACAGAATTGACTGGCCGGCTAAATGAGGTGGGGGTAGCTGAAGAGTCTCAAACCCGTGTGTTTTTAAAAAATTTATTTTTATTTTATTAAAATAATTCAACATTAATACATACATATTACGAATATACAGACAAACATACATTTCCTACAATCCTTAAAAATATTCATACATACCCACACTCAATCCCACAGATACTTCCTTTTCCCACCACCATCCTCCCCTCACCCCACCCTTGTGTTAGACTTTCCAATCTACTCAATTGTAATTTCTTTCCACTTCTATTACTTTC